CAATGCCAAAACCATCGAATGGATCATGCAATGATTGTAAGGATTGTAGGCTATTATTATCAAGGAGAAATATTTGAGTTGCAGAAACTGTCATTCGATGATTCGGGGCATTAAATATTGCATGCACAAGGACACCAAGAAAAACAAATATTATGCAACTCATGTCCATGCCAAATAACCACAAATAATGCTTGCGAATATAATCAGTAACGGCTAATGGCGCACTGACGTTGAATGAGACCACAAGAGAACGACAATACAACCTGAAATTTATGTCTTTTTACCCAAACTTCAATCTCATCACAAACACTTACGCTTTGCATCATTGTAAAAAGTGGCATTTCGGATGATTGATATTTCCCTCTCGTTCATTCCAGATGTTACTGCTATTGGAAACAGCAGCTAACGTAAAATACCGAGACCTGTATGCTGCTGCCTACTAAGTGAGAGCTAACCCATTCGTCACGCGCTCCTCAACATAACAACCACGCTGTCTTCACGTGACCTTGTCTGCACACCTCCGTGCCTGGGTGGTAACGCCGGCCGTCACTGTGTGCCCGTCAGCCGCCACTCGTGGCGGGTCGATGGGAGGTGGGACCGCCACTCCCCGGCGGTGGTGACACACATCAGCCTCTGCTTGGACAGTGAGAGGAGCGGAGAGCTCCTCCGGCGGAAAGGTTAAACACCTCCGGCCAACGTCTCGGCGGAGTTCGCCGTGACGGCTTGTGGTGTTACGTAGTGTTCCAGTAACTTTGTTAGCTGTAACTGATGCTATGCATGGCGGTTGAAAGTTTGCTCACCATTATTAGAAGCCTTGCGGTGGAATTGGAAGCCTTGAGGAGGGCTGGAACGTCGCAGTACACCGGTGGCCGGTGTACTCGTATAGCAGACGTGAAGGGTGGCCGGGATAGATTGAGATAGACGGAGAGAGCCGGGCGGCGGGACGGACACGATGGTGTGAGCTGGGAAGACGGATAGTGCGGCGGGGGAGAAAGGGGAGAGCGCGGAATGATGACGGAGCGGCGAGTGACGAGAGAGTGGCCGAGGTGCCGAGAAAGCCCGCTGCGTGAGGGATGCTCATCTTGGCTCTGTTCTGTGCGGAGGCGTGTCGGAGACTGCTTTCAGCACGACATCGGCTACTCTGCGAGCCGAGCCACGCCAGCTGAACAGGATTAAACTCCTGAAATGGAGCAAAGATCGCGCTCAGCGACTTTGCCGGTGGTCCGTTGCTACCGTCCTCCGGTCTTCCCTTCTGCATGCATTATATCAATCGATACAACAGACTGAGATGTGGAAAAGATGCCTAAATAGTAGGGCAGAGTAATGCAAAAGGGAATTTTTGAGGCTGTTGTCACTTCAATAATGCTATTCACCCTGTGTGTTATGCCAAAATTAGAATGCAATGAATCGAATCTTACAGCAGTGGCAGACAAGTTGAGTGCACAGCATGGCCTGAATTTCGACGACAGCGAGCATTTGCAGAGAAATAAAGCATAGGGAGATGACAGCGAAATGTCGCCGCTGGAGGGTGTGCCGCCATGGCTTTGTGTGGCTGTCGCCGCATTTGTCAGGAATCCGACGGCGCCGACTGGTGTCATTTTGTAACATTATCCTGAGAAGTGGGACTGGCGCCATCAGCAGTATTCTGATCATATGAAGAGGACGTGCTCGTTGCTACGAGATCGAGAGGACGAGACGTCCCGTATATATCACTGCATACAAGTGGGCGTCCAAGTAAAATAAAGAAACTAAACCAGGGTCTGGGATGCGAGGCCACAGATATGCCGGTACTTCACCCGTTTTGAATGTTAGATTCGCTGAAAGTAGCCACGTTTGGCACGGAGTTCCAGTTTCACTGCGGACCATGGCTGGTGGTGAGCTGTGATCTGCTAAAAGCATTTGATATTTGCCAATGTCGCACCGATTCTCTGGTTCAGTCAGTCACAGTCTCAATCTCTCTCGGTCGTTGTCGGAGTATGACGAGGCTGCCGTTTAGCTATGGGGAGCGCCAGAGCCGCCGAACGGCTTCATTAATCATCAGCCCGGTGCACGGAGGAGTTCGACCCGGGGCGCTTAGCGACCGGGCCACCGTGGTCCGGGCCGGCCGTGAATCTCTGTTAGGCCCGCGGGACCCTGGCGGGTCCATCTGCCGGTCTCCGGCCGGGCCTGTCTCCAAGTGACCCCGGATGGATCGCCGGCCGGCCGACGGCGGCGTATCTCGGGGCGCCGGCGTCCGTCGGCGGGGACGTCCGTCTGCTGCCAGTCGTATCTAAACAGCCGGTTATGGAGCCCGTCAGAGGTGGGCGCCGACCGCTGAGACGACAGACGTGGGAACCCGGCGACGATTGCGGTGAGAACGACACCCGGCGCGGCGCCACTACTGACTACTGTGCGTCGGGTGGCGAGAGAACTGCCGGCTGCAACTCGTCATCAAGTCGTTACTGCGGGAAGTTGGATGGGACACTGATTGGGTATTCATAGAGCCACGAGGACAACCAGCCCGAATAGCGCGGCTGAGTGCGCTTCCCCGAACGGCCCCGATGTCCCCGCGGGGCCAGGGTTCGGCGAACGACAGAGCACGCCGTGTTAGCAGACCGTTAGTTGGGTCATATCTGGCCGCTGGCGTGACTGCCGAATGGTGATCAGCGCCCATAAAACCAAAATGATTATAAAAGATGCCAATAGATAAGTGAAAGTATGCCATAAGGAAGAGGAGATGATGGCTGGGACAGTGGACACGATGTCATCGGACGTTTTCGAAGCCACGGCATGTCGCCATAACACGTTCTTTTCCATTGTTTTTATAACATTGTTTCCATGTTTCTGGACGTCAACACTGATTGTTGTTGGTATCATACTTCATCGTCACGCCGAGCACGGTCCGATATCGACATTGTCTGATACTGTCTGGCCCGTGGGGGGCCAAGTTGGGAAAGCCGAGGGACTGCGGATCCCAGCACTGAGGCGCCGGGGGTCATATATTTCGGCGGGTCTTGCGGTTCAGTCGAACGTGAGCGGGGCGGCGAATGATGCAACCAGACCACGCCACGCCCCTACTGGCCGCACAGTGTGGGACACGTTCTACGGCAGCCGTGGGGAATCGGACACAGACTGGACACGTTTACTGTGTATGTCCGGCTAGGTTTGGACACAGGACTGGACAGTGGACATGTGATGTGGTCGAAAGAAAACCGAACTGCAGCTGATATGAGTTGCATTTGGCAATGTATAAGTCACATGATTGGATATTTAATGTGACCGAATGAAACTGCAGTTTCTGGTGGTCACCACCTAATGGGGACCACCTAACGGTCAGAGAGCGGGCACCTGCAGCATTACGAAATTTCTGTGGTAATGGTAGTGTCGAGCACAAGCACTGAAATAAAAAGCTCTGTTTGGCTTTATAGAATGGTCTGTCAGTCCTCAGCAGCTAGCTGTCCAGCCAAGTAGGCATTTCAACATAAGTAGGTATAGACAATAAGCATAAAAATGTAATTGTAGTTGTGGAATATGCAGTGACAAGACATTACCGACCCTTTGTTCACAGTCGTGATGCCCTTTTATCCTCCTGGCAAAGGCTTTCCTTTTAATCAGCGCACTTCATTTAAGAAATATTCCGTTTTTCATTACATAAGCTGCACTTGACAAGCTAATATCTCAGCTGATTGCTCACATTGTGTGAGAACTACTCTAATGATAAGAGGATGACCGAGGCGAGTGTTTGAACTGCTTTGCCTGACATGAATGGCACCATAAATTACAACCAAGCCTGAATCGCCGTATGGCGGCGGCGGTATAAATCAGAACCACGGTAACAAACTACCTCTGAACGGAGCCACGCGGCTGATACCGTTTAAATCGTAGGTATATCCAGTGTCATATGGCAGGAGCCGGAGGTCGGACGCCGGCTGTCGGTCCAGTGATTGACCCGGACGTCCCTCCGGCGCCGTCTGCGACCACCGGCCTCCCCGATCGGCGCGAACGACTTATCGAGAAATTCATGGCGAGTCTCATCCAGCATACTCCTATCGAGCTCAGCTGGAGAGATGGCCCGCGGAGAAACACGCCGGCCGGGTGCTGCAGTGCTCATTACGGTTATACCCTTACTGCAGGATTTATGCACGCGGTCGATGGGTTCAACCACAGTTTACTGCAAATGGATCAGTCATGCATGATATATGAGTGTGTTAAACATAATCTTAACGAAGATAAAGCATGTTAAGACTAAGCCAGACAAAATGCGGTACAAAGAGCTTGGAGCTGCAGATTATCAGATCTGGGAATCATATTTATAATAGATATGTCTTCGCGATAAATGTTTTTCTTTTCATACTTTGATCTAATATCAAGTAACTTCTGTGTTTTATCTCATTGTAAAACATTCAAAATACAACGCATTCCTATAGATACCCAAAGATAAGTTATAATATGCTTCTAATCACTAGAACTAGGATTGATCCTAAATCCCTGCCAAGAAGATGAGGCCTCAAGGGATTTTAATGGCGAAGAACTAAGACGTGTCTGGCTTGTACCCCTTGATTTGAATGGACCATAAAGTTAATTGCAGTGAAGGCAATTGTGTGCTGTCAGCATACACAATGGAGGATGGAGGTTTCTCTAATGGTACCGTCAGCAATGAATTGCATCACAAAACGAGACCACTTAGCATGACCAGCGCGTGTGCACGTAATTATGAAGTTTTTGTTTCAGTCATGAACTCATATTTGAACGTAAAACCAATGCCTACAAATCTAGATACATGTTTATTGATGCATATAGCAACCCCCATAAACATTTACATTTTGACTTTGGTAAGGATCCAAGCAGTTTGTTATCGCGTAAAGTCATAATCGCCGAGTTTGATTCGCTCTCTTGTTTGTGCAATTTCAGTAATCTGAACTCCATATTGCATACATAGCCCACAAGACAATGTGAAGAAGGGCTCTTCACTCTTCATGACGCTCCTCCTGTATGTTTCTGAAGGACTATCTCTTTTCCAGGTGCTGCACGAGCCCGGCGGTCACGACTTCCACCTCCAGATCAGCGGGGTTCAGACGAGCGACGACGGAGTGTATGAGTGCCAGATCAACACCGAGCCCAAACGCTTCTGGCCCGTCACACTGCACGTACAAGGTGGGTCGCCCACCGACCACCGTGGCCAACAGGGAACGGAGCGCGACGCACTCTGGTGAGGGATCATAGTTACCTAATTCGAGTTACCTATGTGCTGTGCGATGCTAATCTTTGTCCTATTGACATTGATACGGAATCAGAGCGGTCCATGCGTTAGACCATAGGTTAGACGTTTCTGGTTAATTAGTCGAAGCAGTTAGCATCGATGCTAATAATGGTAGTCATGCGTGGCGTAAGAATACTCATGCGCAAATTAGACGCGACGCGAGTCGGTCTCGAATCTGGATCTCTGCGGCGCCTGAGCACCAAGGTGTCCCTGAAGCTCCGACCACCGCGGTCCGAGCCGGAGAGGCGGAAACAATCCGCTGTGGCGCAGCCGGCTGACCGCTCAGTGTCGCCGCAATGGCCCTTCCACATGATAACACCCGCGATCTGCATACTCGTTACGTCTGGTTTTGCCGGCCGAGCGGCCGTTTCGCCAAGAATAAATCCAGTGTCGCGCCAGTGGCTTCACAAGGATCGGAAATGACACGTCTGGGGATTTCTGGACGCGAGCAGATGCCTCTGAGCGGCTTTCCAAGGAGGAGCTTTCTTGTAAACCCCGACTCAGACCGAGTGGCGCCATTTAGCCTCCGGCGCTCAGAGTCACGAGGCGAGTCGCTCCTGTTCGGCGTTGGCGTTTGAATTCACCCATCACTAAACATCTTTCGAGAATTGATTGTTGAATGCATAGAGCTAAAAGAAGCACTTGGTCAAGCTATATGTAATAGTATCGATTGAACTGGATAGACATTCTGATAACCGTCGAAGTGTTCTTTTCGCCGCTTTCCCAATGCCCATAGCGCTCCAATATGGCGACCTCCTCCTTCCCTGGCCGTCTTTTCCGTGTTCCGCCGCGTCAGCGGCTATTCGCGACTCTCATGGCCAGACGCTCTGCCCAGGTATTAGCGCCATTAGGTCTCCAATTTCGGTGCTGATCACCAACAGAACACCAGCTGACGCTGAACAAAATGGAGCACTCAGAGGCCACGCCAGCACCAATCACAATACTGGATCGACAGAACCACGCTGCCTGTCGGTTGCAATGACTTCTCCTACTGCCGCTGCCCTGTCTGCTTTATGAAATGGTTCCAGGGGGTACAAGGGTCCGTCAGACCTAATTCGCTCACTAGCTGTGAATTTGCTGGAGCCTCACGGCCAGGGCGGAACGGCCAGTGGTCAGCGGGGCCGCGTCCCTCGCTCTCGTAGTGGCGGCCGCAGCGTCCCGGCTCGGTCTGCGAAATACTCGCCGTCACAGAGCGGCCAGATACACGGGGCGGCGGCCAAGTTTTCGGCGGCCGCGCCCAGCATGACCCGGTCCGAACATCTGACCACACTTAGTTCGATTGCAGTTCGAAACCAGTCACGGGATAACCATTAATTCGGTATACCGAATGGCTCTTTAATGGTCCACTGCAATCTTGGAATTAGTTTGAAAGTAGCCTTCGTTCTAGCGCTTTCTGCAAGATTTCGAGCAAAGAAGCGCCGATAAGTGCGGCACATGACTCAGTAGTAGAACTATATACAACCAAACAAATAACACTGTCGCAAATCGTATGTCGCTATGGACAGGACCACCAGCTCTAGAATCCGGTTATCAGTTCCCTTCCGTAGAACCCTATCCCTATCCAATGCTTGCATCGGTCTTGATTATATATACAGCTCTTTTTTATTTGACATTCGTTCTGTTGAAATATTTTATTTATGCAAAAAATATTACTGCTGGCTGGCTAAAGATTAGGCCAAGTTATATGCATTTCATTTGCAGCATTCCTTAAACGAACATCGAGCTCGCACCAGAGGATATGATTCTTTTCATTTCGACACAAGATCTCCGCGAGGGCGCATTTCCTCGGTGCTGCACTATCTCTCTGTAGCCCGCGGGGAGCTTGCGAATAGCACCGACCGAACTTTGTTTATAGGAGTGCAGGTTTACGGGGTACAAAGTGTGCCAGACATGTCGCGTGTATTTCCCTCAGGAGCGTATATCCCGTCTTTGAGGTGACATGAGGTGAGTAAAACCTTCATGTGATAGGAGATCCGGCCTGGCGGAATGACCAGAAAGCGCGAAACAAGGCGTAGTTTTGTCACTACCTCACAGACAGTTGGTGACCCAATTTCGGCAAACGACTGCTATTTGAAAGTAACGAAGAAGAAAAGGCTCCTCTGGATGTTGGTGGCAATTGATAGAGTTAGGGAACTGGCCAAGGACTGGCTCTGTTAATCTGGCGTGTAGGCATAACTTTCCTCAACCGAATACATTTTGGTCAATAGCTGTGCATGCACGGCATCAAAATGTATTTGATGCGCGCGACTAACAGTGGCGCGCAGCAAAGCCTTTCTCTGCCCGCGGGCGCAAACTGTAGCCTGTAGCGACACCTACCGCACGGCGTGAGCACCACCGGCCCTCAGGCCTCAGTGAGCGCCCGCAGTGCCACGTGACAATATGTGTTCTGTGTGCTTTCGGAATTCCTTTGCGTCTGGTGCGCACCAACAGTGCGGTGCGCTGCTTTTCAATTACAGGCGAGTCCTTCCCGTGTCGGGAATATATCTAGTGCCTATTCTTACGGCCCGGTGCGGCCGTCTCGTTGTACTGCTTCCCCGTCTCCGGCGGCGCGTCAGTGCGGCCGGTTGGTGACCCCGGCCCTGTATGTATGTATGTATGTATTGACAATCAAGAGCAATCCACAATCGGCGTGGCGATTACACTCCCCGGTGGGCACGCCTGCACGCCTGACTCCGCTCGCTAACGGCACAGCCGCTGACAGTAGTTTTGTCTCGGTTTTTCTATCTTCCCGTGGCACTGTGCGGCAGTTTCGCTTCGGGCTGCGGCGCTGTCCGCGACTACGCTCGACTCCCGTGGGCGGCCTGAGCTAATCGTTTTGCATAGGCCACTAATCCGCGGCCATCTCTGTCCCTTTGTCCGGCGCGTCCCCCTACCGGGCCGCTTCCCCTCCCTCGCTCCCTCCCCACCCCGGGGGTGGGGATGGTCGTACCGATACGCGCCGCCAGGCGGCGGCACCGACCGGACCGAGTGCCGGCGACGCGGCCGCGAGCGTCGGCGGTCTGCTGCGCTGCGCGGCGCGACTCGGGATGCTGGAGCCGCGGCCGCAGTCTCAGTCTCTCGCCGGCGCGCCTGGGCGCGCTTAGACTTATGGCAACCTGGCGCCCGGGCGCATACAGTTTCGTCAGCTAGGCTCGTGCCGGTGGCTTTTTCATGTTCAAGGGGCGGGGTTTCACGTGCATATATTGCCAGTCCAGGCCGTCTTCAATTTTTTTTTCTTACTTTTACAGATTCCTAAACCGTGACCTGGATCGCAGTGATTTCTCGTGGCTTTTTCAGACCGGACAGTATGTTTTCGCAAATTGGTCTGTTTCGACCAAATATACTCTACGTACTTCTCACTTCTTGTCACTAGTGTGCTTGCTTTCATCCAAAGTAGGTACCCATGGACCATGTGTCATATGTTGTGCATGTTTTTCTACTTCACGGCCTGGTTGATCTGACCTTGCCCCCACTACAGGGATTTAACATTCATGTCGCATTTCATACGTAATTGTGCGCGGTCGTCACCGAGTTTCTGACGCGAGACGCCCCATGCGAGACAATACAGTCCAGGCTACCAACAGCCCAATTTTTGGGCATGTTGCCAACACTGCTTCGACGCCGTTTTCCGGAGTCCGAGGTGACCCTGCGTGCCTCGTGTCCTACACCCGTTTTCTTGAACGGCGTCACGCTCATTTATTTTCCACAATGAAATGGTGTCGCCAGGGGTAGCCAGTCAGAGTTGGTAGCATTAGGCTCAATGGGCGCTCAAAAACTACCACCCCATATGGCTCCTAATCTATGTTAAATCATTTCTTTCAAGCAAGCCTCACACGTTCCCCAAATGCAAAAGATGAGGGACGTGTATAGGTGCAAGTGCAATGTTGTATATGTATAGTGCAAGTTGCGTTTACACGTAAAATGTTGCGACATATTTCACATTTACTGGCTCAAACAGCCACAATACTCCTTTCTTTTTCTCTCACAGATTATCGGGCTGTTCGTTCACTAAGCATATGCTCCCATACATCTGAAAATCTCGTGGTAGAAGAAGACCTGGATCAAACGGTCGGCGATGCTAACGGAGCTGAGCGATAATCAGGTCCTTTGGAAATTGGATCTACTATGTACATTGTACATATATAATGAAAAACGGGGATGTATAGTCTGGTATCAGACGACAGATAGGCATTGACATTCTCTGGATACAATATGTTGATTACCAACCTTTACGTTAGAAACGATACTCAGGGTCGGCAAATAGTGGGATAGGCCCCTCTGGTGGTAGCAAAACCCTTCGGCAGGGGTAGTGAGGGCGTCTGTGAAAATAATCATTTTTAGGATTCATAACTTGCACAGATTAATAGCTGCTTGGTATGGAGTGTACGCTTGTTGGCTACTTGGGATAGTCCTTTTCTCTAATCAGACTATTTTAGAGCTAGCAGTATTGTTGGAACTAGGGGAGACATTTGTCTGAGCGGGCACGGTTATTCGTCGAGACTGAGCCCAGCCGGTGGGCAGGCCACCCATGACCCAGCACCCCTCCCCTCCCAAGTACTCATTGCACCCGGCTACAGGCGCGCTCCTTTGGGAGCTGATGCGATATATATATATATAGTTGCCCGTCCAGCCCAGAAAAGGGGGCTGAGGCGTGGAGAAAAATGTCAGGAATACATAGACCCGTATCCACCAGTCATGTCTTTGCAAGCGCAGCGGGACGGAGAAATGTATTTGATGCGCGCGACTAACAGTGGCGCGCAGCAAAGCCTTTCTCTGCCCGCGGGCGCAAACTGTAGCCTGTAGCGACACCTACCGCACGGCGTGAGCACCACCGGCCCTCAGGCCTCAGTGAGCGCCCGCAGTGCCACGTGACAATATGTGTTCTGTCCACCGCCACCCCGCCGCCGCCTGTCTCGTTTATCTTGTAGCACTGTGAACGTGCTCCCGGCTATGTATATTGTTACCCTGATGTGTACCTCACGGGGGCGTTACCCTCACCCAAAGAGCATGACTTGGGGTAAATGTCAGGAATACATAGACCCGTATCCACCAGTCATGTCTTTGCAAGCGCAGCGGGACGGAGAAACAACATTACCTACCTACTAAGCATTGACGGAGAATGCTCCTGTTTCATCTACGAGTTTTATCTTCAAAGGGCTCCGAATACAGCTCTAAATCACGCCCTTTTGAATCACACCGCCCCTGATCTATCCTCCGTCCCGACAGCGGCGCACGCCAAGATCATCGGCGCCTCGGACCGGTACGTGCAGCTCAACAGTAACATCCAGCTGCGCTGCGAGCTGCGCGTGCTGGCTGACCCGCCGGTCACCCTGGGCTGGAGCAAGGGCTCGGCCGCCGTGGACGTGAGCTCGCCGCGCGCCGGCCTCAGCATTCAGACGGAGCGCGGCGGGCACGGCACCACCAGCTTCCTGGTGATCGCGCGCGCCAGACAGCGCGACTCGGGAACCTACACCTGCCAGCCCAGCGAGGGACAGTCCGCCACCGTGCGTGTGCACGTGCTCGATGGTAGGTGGCGGGGAGGGGGTGAAGGGCCAGTCCGCTTCTTTGCGCGTGCACGTGCTGGATGGTAGGTGGCGGGGAGGGTGTGAAGGGCCAGTCATCCTCTTTGAAAATATACGTGCTGGATAGTATGTGTGGGTCAACCGGGAAGGGGATCCAGGGGTAAGGCGAGGTGAGAGCTGATCGGAAGTGTTTATGAAAGAAAGGGGAACATAATTCGGATATGACTGCTTATGCATGATGATTGCTGAATCTAATTCCAACTTTGCATTGAATACTCGATCGTCCCAAAATATCTCATGTCGATAACAAAGGCTCATATGGAATTGCAGGCGAGGAAGCGACCATTGAACCTATATAATCTGCGTTGGACGCTCCATGAGCCATTTTCACACCTATCGTATGCTTTATTTAAACTTGATGACCGTGCCCAATAGGATCTAAGTTTTGACGTAAAAGGCAATAATAGACATAATGACTAGGCTACAATTAGACCGTAAATCCTCAAAAAGAGCTGTATTATCAGTCAGATTGTGCAGCTCATTGCGTAAGCTATTTCAAATGCACCTTGCCACGAACAACTACCACTACAAGCGCGCCTGCAATGCGCCGAGTCCCATTGTTTCTGCTTGACGTCCAAAATGACTGTGAAATACTGTCCTACCGTAAAGGTGAAGTGTTTCATTCGCCTGCCGCTGAAAGCGGCCGGTGATAAACACAGTTGCGATTTTGTTCAGTCACGCTACTGGTGAAGTTTGAAGTTCATTTATAGTCGAGTGAAGCAGATTCAATAGCCAGTGTCAGTCAGCTGTTATACGATTAACACGTCGCCGAAATGAGGAAATGAACAGCGGCACGCTTGTGCGCTCGGGTTGCTTGATGTCCCTGGCTCACGTAACCGTATGGAATGCCAGACTAGAGAGCAGTGAACAACACTGGATAGGTTAGGGTGGGGTAGGCAAATTATTTGTTGAAGCTTGGCGATGCTTAGGTAAATGTCGGAAAGCTGAATTTCAAAACTGTTAGTGGATATCTTTTAGCTTCTCTTCGAATTCCAGCATTACATATATTTAAGCTCCGAAATCTCGCACTCATCAAAGTCAAAACAAATCACTTAGAAGGAACCTAGCGAGCTTATTGTCACCTCATTGCACGAATTTTTAGTTAGTGGAATTTTAATGAATCCATTGAGGCTATAAATAAATAATATTTATTATGAAATTTGTCGAATTCTTTGCTGTTATAACAGCCTATGTTGAGCCATCGAGGCTGACATTTTAACAGCGCCATACATTTTCCTTTATCCTTTATTTGAATAAAAAACAGGCATTTTCTTTCAAACGGCTAGTTTAGATATACATTACAAATATAACAGACTTACCCTCACCATTGCCTTCCCCAAACTGACCCTTGCATGGTGACTAATTCGTTCTGACAGGACTATGTGAAATTCCTGCGAATTGTGGAGACACTAAATTTCTCTAGATGGGGAAGTCTGATCGCTATCCATCTTCTTATTTAGGGAGCTTTCCAATATGTATTCAAATGCATTTTGTCCGATACTCTGAGTCTCTGACCTCTCAAACAGCTCAGGGCTGAGGGTTATACGCTACTCACTCGTAGTTCGGTACTCGGTAGCCAGAACGTATACCTACATACCGAGAAGCTTGCACTATATAGTATGACCGTGACCGTGTAATCGCATGCGCTGTTGCCGGGTCGATGACGGCTCCCCCTGCCCTCCCCCCCCCCTCCCGTCTAGACGATCACCCGGCAGCGATGCAGACTGCCGGCGGCGGTCGGCTGAGGCCGGACCTCCCGCTGGCGACAGCTCTGCTGATGACGTCACTGGTACCACTGATGACGTCACTGGTCATACTGGCCTGTCGGCGGGATAACCGGTGACCTGGAACCGACACGGGCGGCACAGACTCGAGGGGACGTTCGCAGAGGTGCGGTGGTGCCCGCTCAACTGCGTGAGCGGCATTCTCGAGAGGCAGAGACTTGTGCGCGAGTATGCTTGAGAAATGGAGACTTGTGCGTGAGTACGCTCGAGGAATGGAAACTCTTGCGCTCAATAGGCGAGAGACTTGCTCGCGGTGTGGAGCGCCGGTGGAGCAGCTGTGATGTGAGAGGTGAGATGCAGTGATTATCAGTATTAGTCGCCCGGAGCGCGGAGCGGCGTGTCCTCAGTCGTCGTTTGTGAAACTGACGTAGTGACCTGATTGGCGGCTTCTGAGCCTGGACGACACAGTGGCTGTCTGACTTTGAAACTGTGTTTGGTTGAATGGATGATGGTCGGGGGTGGCGCTATAAAATGTCCCTCCGTGCAGCTGTTGTGTCCCGGTGTTACCTGCGGATGAAAATGATCCCCGCTCGAAGGCCGGATGAGGGCTTACCATTATCGGTCCGGCAAAGCGTTGATGTGTGAGATTGCCATGTCGTGGCCATGGTATTTTGTACAGATGCTCTCATAAAAGTACACTAAACGTCAAATTTGAACGGGCTAACAAATTCACATAAAGGGCATCGTCCAAATTTAGGTTCTAAGTTAAGATATCGTTGAAATTTCACTTTTCAAATCGTTGAAAGCTCACTTTTGAGACAAAGAGCAAGGTCAATCATATCGTAGAAAGCAGTCATGAACTGTGCACCAAATGACCAGCTTACGTGAAATGTGAAAACATTCTGGTAAACTATGGCCTCATCAATGGTATTTCCAGAACTCAAAGCAATACCCGGCCTTTACGCAAGGTCCCTTTGCGCATATGCATAAACATTGTATCGCGATTGAATGTCTGAAATGGCTGAAAGGTATAGTCTGATGATATCGTGAGCATGTCTCATTAAAATATCTGACAATAAAGTGAGTTACGGTTTCGATGTTATGTGTAGGAACTTTCTGCTTGTATAACATCTTGTGACCGCTTTCGTAAGTGAATTTACGGCCCTTCCCGGCACCGCACCAATCAGAACAATTTTGAACAAACGATACGACCGAATACGCACGGGACTCGCGCACGCCTTCACTTTTATTTCACTCGTTTTCGCCGTCCACTTTGGGCGATTGTGAGGGGCCGTGAACGGGGACGGATTGGATGGCCGTCTTTCGGACTCGCTGGGCCATTTGTGCCGTCGCTGTCGCGGCCTCGTCGCATCGGTTCACAGAAACATCTATCCATATCGGGGCGGGGGCGGCACTGTGAACGACCGTCGGCGCCGATGGTGATTTGATTCGGGCCCCCGTCGGCGCTGGCCGACACCTATGACGTCACAGGCGTCGTCGCCGGCGTCATAAGACCACAGTCCCCCGTGATGACGTAGGCGAAAGTCCGAGGCGACGTGGCAGCATTTGATTTTGTGATGGTCACTGATGACCGGCATGTGCCAGCCACGATGGCAGGCCCATCGTTTATTTGTTGTCCGAGGAGAAAATGACTGGGGAAACACCCAAAATGAATGCTTGACTACGCCAGTCGAATTTTCTCTGTCAGTAGAGTTTTCTGAGCCACGAGAGCGGCTCGAAATTTACAAGTCTGCTTTTTAAAGCATGGCTGCAAAGTCTTGGCCAGATATCGTTACAGCAAGGCCCTAAACATACCCGGTCTCACTGTATGTGTCAGGCAACATAATTTAGCGCTGAAATGTTAACGTGCCATAAAAAGAGCGGAGTTCTCTAGCCCTGCGATACTAGCCCATATAGGAGGATGCCTTAGCTGAAGTTGAGGCTAATTTACTACATGTAATAAAGCCAGAGAAGCACCTTTTAGATAACGAACTACACCTAATGAAGACTTTCACATATTTAAAAAGGTTCATCAGCCTGCATGTAACCGTATTTTTGTCTCGCCCTCATGCTTAATCGTAACAAACAGTCAAAGGTAAACAATTCAATTCATTTCATTTCATTTCGCAAAGTAGATACACGCATTATCCTGTTATGTCACATCAATCTCAATTGAAGGACATTGCATCAAATTAATCACAACAGCCACTTATGTCTCGCAGCCTGGAATCTGGGGGCCATCATTCACAAATCAGAGCTCGGTCGTCCCGAGCTCTGCCCGTGCGGACCGGGCCGGGGCGCGATCTGTCGCGATGATCGATCACATACGAGCCAAGTGGGCCGGTTTCCGGCGGCCGTCCGCCGTTCGGTGCGATGGTCATCTCTGGCCAGTCGGACACGCTCGGCGCCTCTCCGGCGTCGTTCATCCATCGCGGCACGGCCGTGAGGAGACGGGCCGTCACGGAGCGCCTGCCGCCGCCCCCGGGCGCTGACTCGGCCCCAGACCGACTCCGCCGGGTCAGAGGTCAGGGCGGCCGGCTGGGTGGACATGATAGCCCCCACCTCAATCGGATTTAATCAGGTCTGTCGCACGGTGCGTCTGCGACCAGACCCGGAACTCGGCGAGGTGGTAAAACACTGCCGGAGGTCCCAGAGCGACAGATCTGTGCCACTGCCGCCGCGGTGACGGTCGTTCCGGCTCGTCACAATGCGGCTATGGGCTGTGCGGTTCTGGGGCGGCCGTTCCCGGGGCCGTTGCGGACCCACAGGCCGGCGGCTGGTCCGCCCACGGCGGCCCAGATCGGTGACCTATGGCGGGCGCTCGGCGTCCGGCCGCCGGCCTAACTACGGGCCGGCCATTCAGGCCGGAGCCATGTGTCATCCGGCGGAGCGTCTGGTGTATTCACCTTGCTCCGACGCCAGTTCTGACGCCAGCCGCCGGCGCCGTCCCCCGACCGACTTAGAAGATGTATGGAGCAGCCTTATGAGACCTTATGAGAATGCATGATGCAAAAGGACGAGCAGGATGGAAGTAATAATGGCGATTCGTTGCAAAAGGATTCACCGCAATATCACAGAGTACAAGAAGGATTTACACATTGAACAGTCTGGCCTCGGAGTGTTTCAGCTATAAACTTCAGAGAATGGCAGTGATATACGAATCTTTGACGCTTAACTGTACTTTACACTCAACATTTACACCTAGTTGTATGCATGAATGAATCAAAGAAAGAATGAATGAAACTGGGATTAGTGACATCTCGACTTAATGAGTTTGTCAACAGTTATCGCTATAGCTTTCTTCTTATGACGATGCACGTACCTAGTTCTTCAAATCACGCACTTTGTAGCGCCTTTTAACGACTGTCCGAGAGAACCCTCCGCCTGCCTTAATCTCCTTTTATCTGCGCCGGACGGATCTCGCAACTCTCCTGCGTAAAATACTGAACGGCCCATCCGGAGCCACTGTCGAGATTCGGCCGGGCATTTGTCAGACACCCGATCCCATTCTTCTGGCCGCTGACGGAGTGAACGCACACAAACTGCCGGTGCCGACGTGCCCGCTCTGCTCCCCGCCGGGCCGGGGATAACGACGCGGTGATTAGGGCCGGCCGGCCGGGGGCGGGCCCGTGTCCCCCTCGATCAGCTGGCACCGCGTGGCCCCGGGCCATTATCGAGACGCGGCCACTCGGTGAGGGCGCCACGACCGACAGCCGACCCGACCACTAATGGCGCCATCGGAACCTCCCAGAGCAGATCAGTGCGAGCGACGACAACCGGCCGTGATAGATTCACTTGGCTTTTTGCGACACGGCACCAGATGCCAAACACACTAGCAATAATTGTTATTTTTTCATTGTTACTAATATGTGAAAAAAAATGTTATTCGTTGGCCATCTGTGCATATTAGTGGTGTCAATCGGAACTTGAATCTTCGGAATTCCGATTTTGTCCAATGTCCAATTCGGAATTCGGTTGGACAATGGCAGCAGGCTTTGGACAACTTTGGACAATCGCTTGCTGCACCTCAACATTTTTAAGAAGTAATCGTGTTTAACATTGACTGGCTATTAGAAAGCTCAGCTTTCGATATGGTAAACACTTTTGAGCTGGTAACGGTACATGAAAAGCAAATTAAATAACAGTGTTGAGTGTAAACTATTGCGTATATGTCGGACATCTTTGGACAAATAGCTGGCTTGGACATTTTTGGACGGACAGTCGACGTAAGCATTGGACATTGGACGGACTTTGGACATACGTTTTCTGAAATTGACACCACTAGTGCATATGCTTTAGACATAGGGTCAGGGATACTGAAACTTGCAGCATTCGGAGCAAACATATTACCAGCCTCCAAACAAGGCCGTCAAAAAAAAAAAAACTTTTACCAGAGGCACCGGGTCACTTATTCAAAATAAAAAGATGCATTCCAAAACAGCGTAAAAGAAATCGGCAATTCAATAAACCTGCAAGGACACACGTCACTGACAACACGTCGCTCGCTCTAATTGTATGGTAAGTGATGCTCTGGTAACAGGCGTGCGTCTAAATAGACGTTTGGTCGTATTTTTCAGAATCCAATAACGACTCATGTTGGGAAATTTACTATTTTCATCGGACTGGTGTCGTTGGCAGCTGAACCATTGCCATAAACAGGGACTTGGAGCAGCTCTGAGGCGCAGGGCTGCTCCAAGTGGGAACATCTAGCGCGTCGCGACTCTTCAAACGACCCGATGCCGGTTTGAAATCAATATTTAATTCAGTTCTTTCATTTTAATGAATTGTAAACGAAATATAACTGACCAAACGTGCCAACATAAGATAATATCGCAAAAGCTTGACAAAAATCCTAAATGATCAATGAAAATTTGATCAAAAATAACTGCGAGTGTCATATAAAATGCACGAACAGCATGGTCTTGATATTTGCAGTCACCAATTCGTTTATTTCCTCCTTTCTTTTCCTCTGAATGTTTATCTCTCTCTCTCTCTCTCTCTCTCTCTCTCTCTCTCTCTCTCTCTCTCTCTCTCTCTCTCTCTCTCTCTCTCTCTCTCTCTCTCTCTCTCTCTCTCTTTCCCTCTCTTCTCTTCCTCTCATCCCCTCCTGCCGACGACACAGGGTCGGACCCCCGTCGATTGATCGGACCACTGCATCAGGGCACTGTTCAGGGCATTAAGTGCCACCCGCCCATCGGCACACGCCCCGCAGCACTGTCAGACGGATCGCGCCCTTGGCCCAGGGTCAACGGCCCAGGGCACGGGCTCGGCGACCCCACGCAGTAGGACGCAGACGGAGGGTATGGTGCAACGATCGGACTGGAACGCTATTTATAAAACCTTATAAAACGCAGTCATTTTGCTTGCAGGCAGTTTCAAAGAAATTGAAAGCATATGTGACATATTTCATCACATGAACTAATCCCATGTCACGCGGAAAATGTGTAGTTTCAGTTGCAACACATCATATCTGATTTCATTTTACCTACTCAACACGCTTGCCATTTGTCCTAGACTTCACGACAAGTCCTTCAATATCGTCTCAGAATGTGCAGCGGCAGTTCTGAGAAGGACTCGGCGCGTTTCCTGCTCTCGCCATCCATCGGTCACCGGACTGAGGACAGCTTCAACCGAGCAGCGCCGGTGGCCGGCCCCGGGCCGCTCCAAACAAATCCTGATGTATGCCTGTTCAGGGGAGACAGATAATTCTCGGCGGCGACGGGACGCGACGTCGCCACGAGGACGTTCGTTCCAAGTCAACGGTGCATGAGTCGGGCCCCGGACCATGTCAGGTCTGATGTGAGGGTCGCGTCAACGAAAAACTGCTCTGCTGAAAGCGCCAGATCCAGTCGCGTCAACGAACAACAGCTCTGGTGAAAGCGCCAGACTCGGTGAATGGGACATGGCGCCTGATGGAAAGTAGTCGCTCATATCCAAGCATCAGGGATGTTGATCAAGTGATCATCTGGTGACCTAGGAATATCAGTACCTATAGTATATTATGGCACAACCCCTGAATCTCACTCTTGTATAAAGCATAAGCATTTTGTACTTATTTACTTATTTGTGTTAATGAAGTGAGCCAGGAACACTAGTA